TAACGCCAAAAATTCACCTATACGCTTATATCGACACTTTCTTTATCCGTAAACAAACAAAAATTTATTTCATTCAAATCAAAATTTTTTACTTGTATCAAATAATTCATTTTTTGAGTCAATTAATAATGATATTTCCCGTGTAGAAATTGACCCATTAGGGCTCAAGTAGGTAATGAAACGCCACACCTGATCAGGGCCAAATCAGGTCGAAAATGTATTTCCTAATCAGAGCCACAGCAGGCGCGGCGTTTCATTCCTAAATAGGGCAGCCTGATCCGGTCCCGATCTGAGGACGTAAAAAATATTTAAATAAAAGAAATGTTTAATTTTATTATGCAAAATTGATTAAATGGAAATTATTTCCATAAATTTATAACTGAAACAATAATTATTTGGTTAAAATGTAATAATATTTGGTGATTTTTTTTCTCGGTGGTGTGAGTGAATTTTTTTTTTTTTTCCACACGCTTTGGGAATGGCGAACGGTAGACTTGCGGGGCTGCGTTTGTAACGTGCCAATATTCATAAACACGTCGAGCGTCCGACAATATCTTACTCAGTGGCTTTAATAAAATGCTCGTCGAGTTGTATGGAACAGTGCCTCGTTTTTCTTTCGAGACATGGTCCATGGCTTCAGATCTGGATTAGTTTCAGCGAGATATAGGTAATTTTTACTTTATTTTTATTTATTCGCCAGCACCATGTATACATCTTTAAAAATCGTGGCTGGGTAATGGCGACTTAATCAATTCCCGCCTTATTACATTTTTAACTGCTCAGCGGTGGCGAATGGGGCCGAGTCGGTAAATTTAGAATATATACCTTTTTGCCAAGTGTTAATAACTCAGGGATTCATTTTCTCCCAAAAGGTAATTAACAATATTGACAATTTTTAATTGGATCTCTAAAACGCTATTTTCTCCATGGATATATATACATATATATATAACATACGTACAGCCACTGGAGAAATTTTTTATTTAAAAATAATTAAATTAAATATTTGTCTCAAAAGCAAAATATTTTCTTGTATACTTTTATAAGAAAATATAGTTTAAAAAAAAATTCACACCCTTCATGATGGTCGTAATTGACCATTTTTATTGAAAATTATATATTAAGCTCCATATTAATTATTATTAATTGAATGGTACTTACAAAATATTGCATAATTATTATAATACGGATTGTTGTTATTTGACTCACCTGAAACAAAAAATAATTTAATTAAATTTTTTGTACAATGTAATTAAACAATTAATTATTAATAATAATATTATTTATAATTTATTTATAAATAAATTTATCAGTAATTTAGCAACTTGATATCAGTGACTTTTTCACTGATTCAAATTTGAAATTTGTATGACTTGATAAAAAAAAAAAATTCAGATTCAAAATTGGCATATAATTTAATAAACATTAAAATTTCGAAACCGTAAAATCAGGATTTATTTTCAATTGCAAGTGCACGTGGGCGAGTTTGGCGGATGAAAGGGAAGTTGGTGCATTACGAAACGATCGGTAATGGGATAGGTCCGATACAGAAAGGAATAACGATCAGTAATGGGCTGTAAGATAACAGTTAATAGTAATGCAAATATCTACTGTCTTTAAAAGTATTCTGATATCAAACTGGTATAAATATATATAAAAATTCATTTTTAAAAAAATAAAACACCTCAATATCAATATAAACAAAATAAATTCCAGATTCGATATAATTTTATAAAACATTATTTTATCAAGAGAAAATATCATGATTATGAAAGAAATGAAGATACAATTATGCACTGAAAAAAAAAAAATTTTTATTCAAATAATCGGTTAGTTTATCAGATAAATATTTACTTGAACCAATAATTAAAATAACCAATAATTTAATAAATAACCAAAAAAATTTTGGAATCAATTAAATGGTAATTGTTTTAAGTACAGAAATTATTGATTTAAATACAGTTTACTTAATTCAATTATTTGATTCAAGGAAATATTTATTTGACAATAGTCAAGTAACCGCTCTCTAAAGAATTAAAAAGATTCCACTGGAATTCAGTGATATTTCATTGGAAATTAGGAGAATTCTACTTTACTGATTGAAACAGTAAAATCTGTTTTACCGATAAATCATAATGCAGACTTGATTGTTCTGTCTTACCGATTAACGATAAAGCAGAGTTGGCTGTTCTGTTTTACCGACTGATGATAATATAGAATTGGATGTTCTGTTTTACCGATTAATGATAATGCAGAGTTGGCTGTTCTGTTTTACCGATTAATGATAACGCAGATTTGACTAAATCAGTAATAACTCTATAGATTTTCAATGAAATGTGATTGAATTTCAGTGAAAATTTTACTGAAGTTACTAAATTCCAAAAAATAAAAAATATCCAGTTTCTGTGTCTTGTGTTTAGATGAAATTAATTAAAACAACTGACGAAATTTCTTTAAAGCAAATCTTTATTTTTAAATAAATTTAAAAACAAAATTTTGCAACTTTGAATGAAGAAGAAAAAGAGTCAATGGGATTTCAGGACCGCAGCACATGAGCATCTTTATCACGTGAGGTGGTCAGTTAGTTGGATAAAGAAGAGAAATATAAAGAGGAAGCTGACCCTTGGTGGACGAGCAAATGAAAGAAGTTGTGGACCCCGAGAGTGCGACAAGGACCGAGAGAGAGAGCATGCTTTATGAAGTAGACCCGAATGGAGATACGTTATGACATTATCGGACAACACGCACCAGCTTCGTATCTTCTTTCTCTTTCTATGGGATGCAAACGAACTTGATGGTTCTTCTGCATGGCTATATACACACAACACACTAAACTAACCCCCCCTCTTTGGATAATTGGAAGCGAGCAAAACGAAAAGAGAGATTTCTCAGCCTATCTCGCTAATAAATACGTTGCTACCGCGTATTACTGGACCCGATAATAAATACACAAAATAAATAATTGCCAACTGGGATTACTGCCGGGGAGAAAACGACAGCAGCAGGAGAAAACTACCTTAAGCCATTGCTCATTTTGCGTTATAATTTTATGCTTAACAATTTTCACATATTCTAAATTTTAATCATTTTTTAGATTTACACAAACAATCAGTTTTAATTTTAACTTATTTGAACATTATTATAAACTCGGAGTAATGATTTCAGAAATTACCAAAAATTGGACTCTAAAGAAAGAGTTTGTGAATTGAATTTAAAATGAAAATTAATAAGGCTTGTTATCATGTTGTATAGTAGTGTTTGGGGGCCGATCATCGCCTTTTGCATTCTGAAAGGTGACGTTGGAGGTGATAGTCAAACATTTGCCAGATTCTGAATTGCCCCGTTCCATTCTGATGTGTATGTGCTATTCGGGCGTAACGGAGAGTTTAATTAATATTCGCACAGCGGGTTGGCCCGTTTGATTAGCTCTCCGTTGCGCGCCCTGATGGGCAAGCATGCATCCACCTAGAACAACGTACACACATAACTGAGCGAGATGGATCAGATTTGGGGTGCGATGAGAGCGAGAGAGAAAAAGGGAAACTGATGTACATTCCGAGAGACTATACGAGCCAACAGTAATATCACAATCATAACCAGAACCCCTCGTGCGTCGGTCTGTCCGTCTGCCAAAACGTCCTCACGCTTCAGCGATATCAAAGAACTGCTGCTCGTCCACCGTCGCTCGTCACGTTTGTGTATCGCGGTACAGGGCACACACTATATGGCCCGTGTTACATATCTGTCAGAACTCAAAGTCTACAACCACGTTGTTTCAAAATATTAACGTTTACCCTTCACCCCTACCCCCCCCCCCCCAAACTATATGAAACTCCATTGCGAATTATATTGGATGTGTCTTGTCATTATTAACAGATTTTACGTTTCTTTAAGGGTATGAAGACTTTATTCTCTGTGATATTAATCAAAAGCCACAAAACTCGGTTTATAATACAGAAAATATTTTATAAATAAAAAATACAACTATTATTTTAACCTTTAGTCTGCCAGAGTTTAGCAAAATTCAGCAAGGAGGCCTAAATTTAGGGTTTCCGATAGACTATAACGTTAATAAACTGTTGGAAATCGAATTACAACTTTACATTAGTCTCTAAATTTGAATTAGTGAAGTATTTTAGTTGGCTTTTAATAACTGAATTACTTCAGTAAAATTTTTACTAAAATTCACTGATATTTTACTGAAAAATAGTAGAATTCTACTTTACTGATTGAGACAGTTGAAACTGTTTTACCGATTAATCATATAATGCAGACTTGATTGTTCTGTCTTACCGATTACCGGTCAACTGATTGAGAAAGTCAAATCTGTTTTATCGACTTTTGACAATACAGATTCGACTGTTCTGTTTTACCGATTACCAGTAGATTGATTGAGACAGTCGAATCTGTTTTACCGACTAGTGACAATGCAGATTCGACTTTTCTGTTTTACCGATTATCAGTCGATTGATTGAGACAGTCGAATCTGTTTTACCGACTAGTGACAATGCAGATTCGACTTTTCTGTTTTACCGATTACCGGTCAACGATATTCATCATTGACGCCGAAAAGAACCCAATTTACGACACAGAAAATTAAATTCTACAAAACGAAGATCCAACTATTATTTTATTAAACGAAATCGAATTACTAACTAAATTATTATATTTAATAAATAAAATCAGTAATCAATTTTTGTGTCTACTTTTCGATTTTGAAAGCAAAACAACTTTACCAAAATGGGCAAATAAAATGACAAGGGAATGAAGAAAAAAAAAAAAAGAGAGAGAGAGAAGGAGATGTGTGAAAGTGCACCCACGCTACACCACGCTGTGAAAAGTGCAAGGATCACGAATCCTGATTATTACGACATATATTCGAATGTATTGTCAGGACAGTAATATAACATTATCGATAAAGCGAGATCTCTCTCGCCTGGATAATTGTTATTATTGAGATAACCACTCTCTCTCTCTCCCTCTTGAATACGAAGGCTTACATCGTTTGTTTCTACTCGCTACATAACTAAGAGCAATAAGATGCAATTCGAATAAATTTTGCGGACAGTCGCGTATAACAGGGAGTCCCAAGTGCCAAGAAACTGATCTTATCGTTCTTTCGGACCTTCGATGCCAGTAGCGAGATAAGACACTCTGCAAACATGAATGGAAGAGGAACTGTGATTGCATTTCAATTTTTTTTTTTCTTCATTTAATCTTCTCTCTCTCGATTGTTCGGGTTGTAAATTCAAAAACAACTATAGATATACATATACGGCCAAAATAGGCAAATAAAATTTTAAATTTTAATCACTTCTTTTTACTATATTTTTGTAGTTTATATGAAAACAGAAATTTTATTAAATTAATAACTTCAAATCTGGTTTGTTGTTGCAACAAATTTTTTGTCTTCTCAACAGTTTTACTGTTATCACATAACAATGTTGAATTGTTAAATTAACAAAAAATTTGTTGCTACAACAAACCAGTTTACTAAACCTGGAATTAACAAATTTTGTTTGGACGCTACAACAAATCTGTATTGTTGCACTAAGAATATATTATACTATACAACAAATTTTTAGTTGTAGTAATATACTCTTTGTACAACAATACAGATTTGTTGATGCAACCGCAAACAGTCTTGGCAAATTATTTCCATCAGATTCTGAATCCTAGTATAGTTTAAAAATGATAGTGTAAAATAATAAAAGTAAAATTAGTACATACAAATGAAGAAGACATACAATTTTAATTAATTCTCTACAGAATAAGTAGACATTACAAAAACAGAACAGTACAAAGAAAAGGATAATTAAAAAGAAAAATGGGTTTTGCGTATATATATTAGCCTTCGAAATAAAATTGCATAGGGTCAATATAAGAGTATTTCTACTATCTAAATGGCATTTTGCTGTTGCGCCTATGTCGCGAGAAGGACTAAGTTCCAAAGTCTCAAGAACTGTTATACAGATGTCAGATTTTAGTGTTGTAAACATTATATGAGGTTGTAAAAGCGGCCTCTTTGATATCGGGGACGATACATACGTATAGAGAAGAGACTCGTAAATACCATTACTCTTTTTTTTATTTTTCATATATTTTTTTTTCTTTTTATTTTTAATATAAATTAGGTGCTGCCTTCTCGATAGTTGTCAAGCTCCTCCAAATCGTATATGAATCCGCGGTAAGCCATTTCTTCATTTAATTACACCTCTATAAAAACGAATTCTTTTGGCATTTGGCTTCTTTATTTGCTCGAATACGAACTCATTCATTCTGAATATGGCATACAAAAAACTATTTTGCTTTAGCTTTTCACCTCGGCCCGGGTGATACCTTGCGCGCATCTACAGCACTATACTCTCACATCAGTTTACGACTCTCCTCAACCGCAATTTCGTCAAGAATTTATGGTTTATACTGTATTTTTTATTTTCACTTAATTTATTGAGAAGAAAGCAGAAAACTTAAAAAAAAATTATTATTATTATTATTAATATACACTATATGGTAACACATATATGAATCATAAAATATAAATATTTTCTTGTATGTTCTGTTAATTTTTTAAGAAAGTGGAAATTTAACACTCTTGCGAAAATAGAATTAACGGAGAAAATAAGGATTGTAACACTGACAATTGGATTGTTAGTATAGGACTAACAAATCCGGTTTGTTGATGTAACAACATTTTTTTGTTACGTCTATTCGAAAATTTCTTGATAACAGTACAAATGTTTGAAAGACAAAAATACAACAACAAAGCAGATTTGGGTTCTACATTTATCAATCTATTAGATTTTTTCTTTTTCTTCGTGTTGTTATTGTTTTTATAAATCTCCGACAATGCTTCAAGTAACTTTTGTAACTACAGATTTTGTCTATTAAATTTTGATAAGTTAAAGAAAATGATTTTAAGGCAGAGTCATAAATACTGAATTATCTGATATTTTTTTTTTCAAAACTAAGTACTGACAGTTATGAGTACCTTGTAATTGATGCTGATAAAATTTTTCGAAATGAAATCCCCAGAAGAGAGTAGAATTTAATGGAGCGAGATTATGATACATGGTATAGAGGTTCTCTTCTTGGTAATAATATATATATAGTGTTGGCGTAAAGCGTTGGGTTGTCACGTGATGATTCAACTGGTCATCCTTTGGGCATTTTAGGCAGTTAGGGTATAACCCAGCGAAGTTGGGAAGTGTTACAGCATAAGCGAGTATAACTGACTACCGCACCATCGAAACTGAACTATGTAGTGGTCCTGGCAAACTGAGGCAAACTCTCGACTGTCAGTGTGAGCAGGGTGACTTGCCATCGTAAGGGGGGAATTACACTGGTCCATGGTATAGACTCAGCCCGAAGGTGACTTCCCCTAATAATCCCTTCAAATGCACCTATGTTGTATAATCCGTACTGTATATTTATAAATCTCAATTATTTTTATTTTAATTTCTTTCTTATAATTAAAAGCAATGAATTTTTGGGATAAACTAAAATTTTAATTGAAAATCAATAAAATTTTGGAATAAATAGTCAAATCTGTTTTATCAACAATTGGTAAAAGATTTGGTTATTTAAAATAAGATTTTTATTAAGAAATATAAAAGAATTTTAGTGGATCTTATTAAATTAATTAGTGGATCAAATACAGACAAGTAAATGATATACATAAAGTTTCTTATGAAATTTTCAACCTAAAGAAAATATTTTCATTCACATTTTGAATGTGTTTAGAATTTTTAAATGATTCTACTTCTTCGAAAAAAAATCAGTAAAGCATTTATAAACTAAAGCCAAAAGTACGTTAGTAAAAATAAATTATACGCCATGAGGGATCTATAATAAACTACATAGTACAAAACATATTACTGAAACACACTTTTCAATATATATATATATACACTATTCCAAAAGGGTGACCATAAAAAATTACTGAATGAGTTTTTGAATACAACATCCGCTTCTTTAGACACTTTTATAGTCAGTGAAAGTTGAGTTGTAAGAACAACTTCAGGTTTATATAAAAGACTAGGTGTTATAAAATTTTTCATTTAAGTATTGAAATATATAAAAAAAATTTTGAGAAATCTGACATTTCAATGGCCAGAAATTAATTCTGGTAATATCGTTAATAACCAACCTGGTTTGTTGTAACAAATTTTTTCTTCTAACAATTGTTGTAATAGCAGTAAAATTGTTAAGACAAAAAATTTGTTGCAACAAATTAGTTCTATTCAAAAACCGGTATTTAACAATTTCTTTTTTCTCTATGTATTATTAAATGAAACCTATCCGAAACTCATCACGCAGTTCTTCTCTCACATCCGTCTTTTTTAACACCTATACGAATATGAGTGGCTCGCAGTCAGCTCGACCTTTTTTTTGTGATGATACCAAGCAGATAATTGACTAAAGTACAACTGGAATTTGTCTCCATTGAAAAATATTCTTTTTCGAGCTGAGCATCAACATCCGAATCGATGCTTCTGCAACACAATGGATGCAGTGGAGTCAGTATGAAAAAGAATCGAGCTGACGTGACGCGTTCGAAGGGTGACTTCCTCTCTCTCTCTCTCTCTCTCTATCTCTAAAGATATATATACAATTGACGTCTGTATTAGCGTTAGCTTATTCGTACCATTAGGGTAGGTATGGGGTGACTGGATGCAGGGACGCAGAGAATCAGAGATTAGTACGTGACACACACCCGTTTCCCGACACGAAATAGGTGTGAACGAGCATGATACGGGTCCGGATTCAAGAGCTTTGCCACTTTGTGTTATACTTCACTAATCTGTAGGCAAGCACAAAGCTGTTCTTTTGTCACTTGCAGTCCAAAGTCAGTCAGTCAGTTTGCTGATTTGCCAGTCGGTCACTGATCCGCATTTCTCGCCCAATGATCGTTTCTCTTTCGTCACTCTCTCATATATACAGCCACTCTGTCAATTTATGGATGCGACACAAAACACTATAACTAAAGTAAATGTCTCTGAATAGCGTTTCATCGACTCGAGCGCAGATGTCACATCAAAACTTGTCACTTTTCCTCAAAAAGTCAACAACATTTTCACATATTTTATTTATTCAACACTCAAAATAAGTCATTTCTTACTCTAAATCTGATTTAGTTAAAATTTTTACTAATTCTTATAGAGAGAAAAATAAAAATACCCAAATGATTTTATTAAATTAAGAGAAAAAAATATCTTGAAATTACAGCAACTTGTGCAGAAATTCGTCAACCTGGCCCTGACCTGGTTGAAACAGGGAACCCTGGTCAGGCCCCGGTTTTAATCGATGTTAATCGAAAGAGTGCTTTTTCTGTGGCCCCGATCGGGTTCCCTGTTTTATGTAAATTTGCAGCTTCTCAGTATCACAAATAAAAAATTCGTAATTTTTTTTTTTTTTGATAAATTTGTTTTCTTAATAATATACCAACCACATATTGAACAAAGTGTATACATAATAATGTGTATATTATATACGTAAGTATATGTGTATATGGTATATATATATAAGGTCTGGTTGGGGAGGATTTTCTCGATCCATTCATCTCAAAAAGCATTCTCGCTTGAGGCGAAAGTAAAAGAGACTAAGGGGATGGAGGGCTATAGGGAGAGGCACCCCTGCAGTTTTGTTGGGATACTTCATATATGCGCAAAACTATGGTTCTAGTTGGATTGCGGGTCATCCACACATATTTATATATATCAGAATTCTTTCTATATAAAAGAGGGGTGCGTAATATATATGTATAGCAATATTATAACAAGAGTAATATACATATATATAGTTGAGAAGGTTTTTTGTCCAAGATCAACGTAGCGAATCTAAACTTCTTTCCTCCATTCACACCAGACTCATCTTTACTTTACGCTTTTCTGCATGTTATCTTGACGTAAAAATTTTTTATATTTTTACTCTGACACTATTCAATTTTTAAGTTTTCAAAATATTTACTAAGAGTAATAAAAAATATTATGCTTTATTCAAAGAATATTCTACTTTGAATAAGTACGATAATAAGAATAAGTATGATTCTGATTGGATTATATTTGAGTGGTTCTTGTTTGATTAAACATACATAAAAATAATAAGAATTTCTATTAAAATAACGAATGGAAATATTTTACGTTTCTATACAGTTATGAGACAGTTATACTATTTTCTATATAGACACT